CTAAGTGACTGCCACGTCACCACGGCGTCTGTGCCAGGTCAGGTGCACTTTGAGGCTACGTGAAGTGTCGAAGGCTCGCTGACAGGTCACGGGAGAGACCCAGGTGCCATGGGTTGACTGAGATGACTGGCAGATGCACCACCTGTACCCCCTACTGTGCCGACTTGCTCAATTTTTATCTCTCCCGGCGCTCCGCTCGTTGTTGTGAGCGTCGCTCCTCTGCCCTCCATTGTTTCTGGAGTGCGACTTCCTCCAACTGCCTCAACACATCAACACCAACCACTGCCACACACCACCTTGCCAGCTCGGCCTCACATCAACCCACTCCATCACTCGCCACCACTCAACATCATCATCGCCACCACCCAAATCACCACTTTCCACACCATCGCCTCCACACCTCCCGTCTCTCACTTTAGGGCATGAACATTACCCCCCCACCCGCCCCGCCCCCCACCCCTCCCCCCGCCCCTCCCCCACCCCGCCCCCTTCTTCCCCGTGATCGCCGCGTCGTTCGTTCGCGCTCGATATAAACGCCGCCAACGCCGCCGTGGAGGAGGAGGAGTCGGGTAATCAGATGCGCGGGAACGAGAATGCGATTTGACAGGAAATAAAGTGATATTAAAACACACGGGCCCCGCCGTCCGTCTTGATTAGGGGGCGCGCGCGTGCGCGTGCACGCGGGGGGGTAGCCGGGGGAGGGCTCCGCATGCAAACGGCCCCATTAGAGGCGCGTGCACGCGCATTGACACGCGCGCGCACACAGACAAAGATCCCCCTTATTGCTACGACAGACTTTTGTGGCAAGTGCTGTTAGCGAGCACATGTCAAGGCGGGCACGGAACACGAAGTGGTGGGTGGCCAGCACCACGCCCGTCCGCCTTCGTCTCCCCAGAGGCGGTGTTTACACTCCGCACCAGGTACTCATTTGAGGCCGAGTCGACCCAGGGGAGGCCCAGGATCGGTTCAGATAATCGTCACCGGTGTTGGCCATGAGCGGGAATCGAACTCGGGACGCCGGGTCCGAAGCGCAGCGTAGCGCTAACCGCTGCACCACCGCTCCCCAGACAGACACAATAAACAACAACACAGATCCCCCGTGTAGCCTCAACAGACCGTAGGGGCAAGTGCTGTTAGCGAGCACCTTATGAAGGCCGGCACGGTGCACGAGGGGGTGGAGGTGGGTGGTGGTGTGGCCAGAACCACGCCCTTCCACGCAGTCGAGATGAACGCACACAAATACACGAACACAACACATCGGCACGTATACGCTTAACGTGCTCACACACACACACGCCGCGCATACACAAAGGCACGTACACACAAACACGCACATACACACACTTTGATATGAATAATGTAAACACACACACGCATACGCAAGCGTATGTTTACACAAACACCTAAACCTTTACACACACGTGAACTTACATATCCACTTGAAATGCAAATTGACGCAATGTTCATACGCAAACAAATACACACGGACAGGACCAGCAAAACGATCAAGCACACTACACCACTTCTCCAGCCCGCACTCACAGTACACACACTCACAGTACACGCACAGTACACTCACTCAGTACACACACAGTACACACTCACAGTACACACACAGTACTCACAGTACACACACAGTACTCACAGTACACACACACTCACAGTACACACTCAGTACACAGAGTACACACAGGACACACTCACAGTAAACACTACTCACAGTAAACACTACACACAGTACACTCACTCAGTGTACGCACTCACAGGACACTCACTCACAGTACACACAGTACACACTCACAGTACACACAGTACACACTCACTCACAGTACACACAGTACACTCACAGGAGCAATAGGCGTTGATGAATGGGGCCATTTACACGAATCACCACATCCACACCGCCTCCATCACCACCCATCAGCACCACCGCGCCCACCATCACCACGGCTGTCTGTCGCCCCCTTACGCGGCGTGATGATGGAGGGGATGATGGTAAAGCAGCGATTAGAGCGATGCGGGTGACGATTACGATCTTGCTGATGATGGCAATCACGCGGTATTGGGTTGTGATCCTGAAATGCACGATGGGAACGATGGGATGTAGACGATGAGGATGATGTGATGGGCTGCGATGATGGCAGTGATGGGTTTGTGGTCTCGGGTTGTCCGTGGGGTGACGGCGGGAAGGTGGGGGCGGGGTAATTACATCCCGGAAGTGCGCCCTGTAATCCAACACGGATCGCCCTAATTGATGTTTGATGACTGCGACAGAGGACTTCATGAATCCTCGCGAGCACAGGGGCAGCAGAGAGACAGCACGGAGACAGCACGGAGACAGCACAGGGACAGCAGAGAGACAGCACGGAGACAGCACAGAGACAGCACGGAGACAGCACAGAGACAGCACGGAGACATCTCGGAGACAGCACAGGGACAGCAGAGAGACAGCACGGAGACAGCACAGGGACAGCACAGAGACAGCACGGAGACAACACAGGGACATCTCGGAGACAGCACAGAGACAGCACGGAGACAGCAGAGAGACAGCACGGAGACAGCACGGAGACAGCAGAGAGACAGCACGGAGACAGCAGAGAGACAGCACGGAGACAGCAGAGAGACAGCACGGAGACAGCACAGGGGACAGGAGGCGGTTGTGCTGCACCCTCGGTGGGAGTGGAGTGGGGGAGGCAATGGAGGGATGGAGGAGACAACAATGATTGGGCAGGGCCTGGAGGGGGAGGGGAGGGGCCGGGATGATTGTGAAGGAGATTGGGGGGTGAAGGGGGAGTGGTGGATGGGGGGAGGGGCTCTAGATTATTGTGGAGGGGCTGGGACGTTTAGCCCCCCCGGATAATTTGGGGGGGGGGGGGTAGTGAAGGGGCCGGGGGGAAGAGCGCCTGCTATGTGAAGGGAGGCTGGGGCGTGAGGGGAGGAGGCAGGGGGGGCTGAGGAGGGGGGAGGGGCTGGGATGATTTGGGGGGTCGGTATATGAAAGGGGAGGTGGTGGGGCCGCCAGGCGAGGGGAGGGGCCGCGATGTCGCGGTTAAATGAATTATTTAGGAGATGACAAACAGGCGTCGCTCGGGTGGTGATGAGAGCCCCATTACTGCCCGCGCGCCCGCGCCCCCCCCCCCGCCTCTAACCCCCCTCCCCCCACCGCCCCGCCCCTACCCCGCAGCCCCGCGAAGCGCCGGGTTCACGCCCCGCGGCCACGGCTCAAGCCGAGCCGCAGTCACGGACGCGAGCCGCTCTGTCCGATCACAAGGATCAGAGAGAGGTGGAGGTGGTGGTGGTGGTGGTGGCGGGGAGTCACGGGCAGCCGAGGGCAGCGGTCACCAAGGCGACGCGGGCAAGGGCGGTGTCGTCGTGACTGTTCTCAGGGGAGGCTCGGGGTGGTCGCGAGTGCGCCCTGTGGGAAGGAGATCCCCTTCCGCGAGTGGGGGGGTTTGGGGGGCAAAGCGAGCTGGTGGTGGGGGGGGGGGCGTCACGCACGCGCCCCCGCTAACCGCCCCCCACGCCCCCCCGCCCCGCGCATCGCTCAGGAGGCGCGCGCACGCTCGCTCGTAAAGGCGCGCGCATCAATACTGCATGGGGCGCGTGACGCCTTAAGTGGCGCGCGCGGGGGAGAGCCGCTTCCCGCCAAAAACATAAAGAACGCGCGCGCGTGCACGTGCGGGGCCATAAACAGGAGTGATGAGCGGGGGGGGGGGGTGCGGGGGGTAGGGGGAGGCGGCATGGCTGAAGGAGGTCAGCGATGGGATGGAATAAGGGCAGGGGTGAGGGAGATGAGGTGAGTGGGCAGGGGTGAGGGAGATGAGGTGAGTGGGCAGGGGTGAGGGAGATGAGGTGAGTGGGCAGGGGTGAGGGAGATGAGGTGAGTGGGCTGGGGTGAGGGAGATGAGGTGAGTGGGCAGGGGTGAGGGAGATGAGGTGAGTGGGCAGGGGTGAGGGAGATGAGGTGAGTGGGCAGGGGTGAGGGAGATGAGGTGAGTGGGCAGGGGTGAGGGAGATGAGGTGAGTGGGCAGGGGTGAGGGAGATGAGGTGAGGGAGATGAGGTGAGTGGGCCCGGCTCCGGGGTGGAGGTGGCGAGGGTCGCCGCTCCGGACTCCCTGGGGAGGCCCAGGTGGAGCTGGAATGGAGCTGCGTGGAGCGAGGAGGAGAGTGGGCGGTGGAGGGGAGACGATGGAGATCGAGGGCGGAGGAAGGCATCGTGGGTAGTGAATGGAGGGGATCGAGGGTGGATGGATGAAGGAGATAAGTCGGTGCTGTGGAGGGTGGATGTAGATTGGAGGGTGGATGAGATGTAGAAAGGAAACAAGATGTTGGGTGGATGGCGGATGTTCGAGTGGATGGAGCGGAAGATGATGATGGATGGTGAGCGGGGATGATGGATGAAGACGATTCAGGGCGAACTTAGTCGTGGATATAGGATGATGCAGGGAAGGAGCAGGGATGATGATGATGATCGTGTAAGTTGTACGGTGGATGTAGAAAGTGTAGGGTGGACGTAGGGGAGGAGCGGGGAAGATGGATGGAGGCGGGGGGGCGGGCAGATAATTAAATGTTAATGCTCGCGCCCGTCTCCCTCGCGCCGCAGATTGCACAGGCCGTGTCGGGCGGACCGTGGGAGGTGTTTGATAGCTGCAAGGCTCATGCAGTATTAACGCCAGAAGCATCGCGGCTCGTTAAGCAGCGCCGCGCCACGATGGGGGGCGCGGGGGAGCGGAGGGGGTGAGCTCCCTCCCCCAACTCCCCCAACTCCCCCCACCTCGTCACCCTCTCCCCTCCGTTCTCGCCGCCTCGTTGATCCGTGGCGCCCCCTTGCGGCCCACCGCGCATCCCCCTTGCTGCACGACACGCGGCGATTAACTCGTGTGATTTTTATTATTTCCAAGTTCGTGGACGCGAGGTTTCCCTGCTGGGAGGAAAGGGGTCACACCGGGGTCCCCCAACCCCCCTTGACCCCCCCCTGCCCCCACCCCCGTCCCCCCTCTGCCTCCCGGCGCCCCCACCCCCCTCGTCCCTTCGGCATCACGCGTCCTTAGCGCCGTCTAGCGACCGCGGGTCGCCCTCCGTCTCGCTGCCCTCCGTCTCGCTGTCCCCGCTGCTGCCGCTGTCTCCGCTGCTCTCGCCGGTGCCCACGGGCGCCCGTCTCAACAGCAGCCCTGCCGCCGCCGCCGTCCCCCCGGCCGCGTGAATCCGGAGCGACTCGGCCGCCTCGCTTCCTCCCAGAAGCCCCTGGGGGGGCCGGCCCGCCTCTTCGGCGCGCCGTTTGGAAGCGGCGGAGGCGGCGCCGCCGCCGCCGTCGGGGTCGGGCGACCGTCGGTCCGCGGGAAACGGAGCTCCGGCCGCACCGGCGGCGGCAGCGACCACGCCCCGGGACCCCCCGGGGCCCCGCGTTGCCCTCCCAGGGGTCTCCTTGCACGGGGCAACGAGGGGGGGGGCGGCAGCCGCTGGGGGTAGCGGCGGGGGGCGAAGTGCAGCGGGAGCGCCGTCGGGAGAGGGGGCAGCGTCCACTTGAACTCTCTCCTCCTCCTCTCCGACTCTTTCCTCTTCCCGTCTTCTCTTTTCCTCCTGCACTCTGACCTCTTCACGCACTCTCTCCTCCTCCTCCTGGATTCTCTCCTCCTCACGTAATCTCTCCTCCTCACGTAATCTCTCCTCTTCACGCACTCTCTCCTCTTTCTCCCGGATCCTTCGCTCTTTCAGGACTCTCTCTTCCTCCCTGATTCTTGCCGCTTCCCGCACCATCTCCTCCCGAATTCTCTTCTCTTCCAGAATTCTCTCCTCTTCACGCACTCTCTCCTCTTCCCGGATTCTCTGTTCCTCCCGGATCCTCTCCTCCTCACGCCGCTCTAGGAGATGACAGGAGCAGAAGCAGCGTTTGGGAGTGAGTCGTGTCCCCCGCAGCCAGAGTGGCGAGTGTGGTTCTGGTGTGCGGGGTGGGTTGTGTATGGTGTGCATGACATGTGTGGCCTGGTGTGCGCAGTGTGGTGCGGAGTGTGTGCTGTGATGTGCCCCATGTGTTGTTGTTGTTATGGTATGCATGGTGTGTGATGTGCTTTGCACGTGGTTTGTATGGTGTGTGTGGGTAGTGTGTGTGGTGTGCCGTGTGTGCTGTGAGTGGTGTGCATGGTGTGTTTGGGTAGTGTGTGTGGGGTTTGCCGTGTGTGCTATGAGTGGTGTGCATGGTGTGTGTGGGTAGTGTGTGGGTAGTGTGTGGGGTGTGCCGTGTGTGCTGTTAGTGGTGTGCATGGTGTGTGTGGGTAGTGTGTGTGTGGTGTGAGTGGTGTGCATGGTGTGTGTGGGTAGTGTGTGTGTGGTGTGAGTGGTGTGCATGGTGTGTGTGGGTAGGGTGTGTGTGGTGTGAGTGGTGTGCATGGTGTGTGTGGGTAGTGTGTGTGTGGTGTGAGTGGTGTGCATGGTGTGTGTGGGTAGTGTGTGTGTGGTGAGTGGTGTGCATGGTGTGTGTGGGTAGTGTGTGTGGGGTGTGTCGTGTGTGCTGTGAGTGGTGTGCATGGTGTGTGTGGGTAGTGTGTGGGTAGTGTGTGGGGTGTGCCGTGTGTGCTGTTAGTGGTGTGCATGGTGTGTGTGGGTAGTGTGTGTGTGGTGTGAGTGGTGTGCATGGTGTGTGTGGGTAGTGTGTGTGTGGTGTGAGTGGTGTGCATGGTGTGTGTGGGTAGTGTGTGGTGTGAGTGGTGTGTGTGGGTAGTGTGTGTGGGGTGTGTCGTGTGTGCTGTGAGTGGTGTGCATGGTGTGTGTGGGTAGTGTGTGTGTGGTGTGAGTGGTGTGCATGGTGTGTGTGGGTAGTGTGTGTGTGGTGTGAGTGGTGTGCATGGTGTGTGTGGGTAGTGTGTGTGTGGTGTGAGTGGTGTGCATGGTGTGTGGGTAGTGTGTGTGTGGTGTGCATGGTGTGTGTGGGTAGTGTGTGTGGGGTGTGTCGTGTGTGGGGTGTGTCGTGTGTGCTGTGAGTGGTGTGCATGGTGTGTGAGGGGAGTGTGTGTGTAGTGTGAGTGGTGTGCATGGTGTGTGTGGGTAGTGTGTGGGTAGTGTGTGGGCTAGTGTGTGGGTAGTGTGTGTGCTGTGAGTGGTGTGCATGGTGTGTGGGTAGTGTGTGGGGTGTGCCGTGTGTGCTGTGAGTGGTGTGTATGGTGTGTGTGGGTAGTGTGTTTGTGGTGTGTCGTGTGTGCTGTGAGTGCTGTGCATGGTGTGTGTGGGTAGTGTGTGGGTAGTGTGTGTATGGTGTAAGTGGTGTGCATGGTGTGTGTGGGTAGTGTGTGTGTGGTGTGAGTGGTGTGCATGGTGTGTGTGGGTAGTGTGGGTGGGTAGTGTGTGTGGTGTGCATGGTGTGTGTGGGTGGTGTGAGTGGTGTGCATGGTGTGTGGGTAGTGTGTGTGGGGTGTGCCGTGTGTGCTGTGAGTGGTGTGCATGGTGTGTGTGGATAGTGTGTGTGTGTGGTGTGAGTGGTGTGCATGGTGTGTGTGGGTAGTGTGTGTGTGCTGTGAGAGCTGTGAGTGATGTGCATGGTGTGTGTGGGTAGTGTGTGGGTAGTGTGTGTGTGGTGTGTATGTGTGCTGTGAGTGGTGTGCATGGTGTGTGTGGGTAGTGTGTGTGCTGTGAGTGGTGTGCATGGTGTGTGTGGGTAGTGTGTGTGGTGTGAGTAGTGTGAGTGGTGTGCATGGTGTGTGTGGGTAGTGTGTCTGTGGTGCGAGTGGTGTGCATGGTGTGTGTGGGTAGTGTGTGGGGTGTGCCGTGTGTGCTGTGAGTTCTGTGCATGGTGTGTGTGTGTGGTGTGAGTGGTATGCATGGTGTGCATGGTGTGTGTGGTGTGAGTGGTGTGTGTGGTGTGCTGTGTGTGCTGTGAGTGGTGTGCATGGTGTGTATGGGTAGTGTGTGTGGTGTGCTGTGTGTGCTGTGAGTGGTGTGCATGGTGTGTGTGGGTAGTGTGTGTGTGGGTAGTGTGTGGGTAGTGTGTGTGGTGTGAGTGGTGTGTATGGTGTGTGTGGGTAGTGTGTGTGCTGTGAGTGGTGTGCATGGTGTGTGAGTGGTGTGTGTGGGTAGTGTGTGTGTGGGTAGTGTGTGTGTGGTGTGAGTGGTGTGAGTAGTGTGCATGGTGTGTGTGGGTAGTGTGTGTGGTGTGCATGGTGTGTGTGGGTAGTGTGTGTGCTGTGTGTGGTTGTGCATGGTGTGTGTGGTTGTGCATGGTGTGTGTGGATAGTATGTGGGTAGTGTGTGTGTGGTGTGTGTGCTGTGTGTGGTGTGCATGGTGTGCGTGGGTAGTGTGTGTGCTGTGAGTGGTGTGCATGGTGTGTGTGGGTAGTGTGTGTGTGCTGTGAGTGTGGGTAGTGTGTGTGTGTGGTGTGAGTGGTGTGCATGGGGTGTGTGGGTAGTGTGTGTGTGCTGTGTGAGTGGTGTGCATGGTGTGTGTGGGTAGTGTGTGTGGTGTGAGTGGTGTGCATGGTGTATGTGCTGTGAGTGGTGTGCATGGTGTGTGTGTGGTGTGAGTGGTGTGAGTGGTGTGTCGTGAGTGGTGTGAGTGGTGTGCATGGTGTGTGTGTGTGTGGTGTATGTGCTGTGAGTGGTGTGTGTGGTGTGTGTGGTGTGAGTGGTGTGCATGGTGTGTGTGTGTGTGTGGTGTATGTGCTGTGAGTGGTGTGTGTGGTGTGAGTGGTGTTTGTGGTGTGCTGCACTCACTGCGGTCTCTCGCCTCCTCCTTGTTCCGTACGAGTCTCTGCAGGAGCTCCACCTCAGAGAGTGCAGATTCCAGCGCTCGCTCGCTCGCCGCTACCTCACCGCACACCAGCTGCCAAGACACACGCACCAACACACACCCACAGAACCACACACACACACGCACACATCCACGACACTCACTCACAACCAGAACACCACAATCTCAAAAACATCACAACAACAACTACAAACCCCATTCGCCACGAAGCGGCGGTGACGTCACCACGGGGGTACGTGAAGCGCTGGACACTCGCTGCGTGCGAGTGCGTGAGCTCTTGGGCGTGCGCGCAAGTGTAATATGCGGGCGGGCGAGCGTGCGAATGCACGCGTCGGCGCGCAAGTGTAATCTGTGCACGTGGGCTCGCGAGTGCTAATGTGTCGGGAGTGGGAGGATGAGCCCCCTGGGTGTGTACGAGTGACAGAGCGCGGGCCCAAGCTTGAAAGCGCACGCGAGTGAGCTTGTGCACGTGCGTGCTTGGAGTGGTTGCGCGAGCGTGTCAGCGTGCATTTGCTCGTGAGTTTGAGCGTGAGTGTGCGAGTATTAGCCAGTGAGTGTGAGCGTGTCGTCAGCATGCGAGTATGAGCTTGTGAGAGTGACCGAGTGCAAATGTGAGCGCGACTGGGCTTGTCGTTTTGTTAGAAGAGTGTACGTGTGTGTGTGTGAGCGCGTGAGCGTGTCGGGTGCGCCGGCACCTGTAGGCGTTCCTGCGTTGCGCTGTACATCTGGAAAATGCGCCGGACGTCACGCACGACCCCCTCTCCGTCCAGGAACTCCCCACTGTGGCACGGGTGACCGGGGCAGGGTGGGCAAGGGTGGACGAGCGTGTGCGTGTGCGCGAGTCAGTTCTGCTGCTGCTCGTGAGCGCAGGGTGCTTGCCGTGCGTGTGGGGTGCGTTTGTTTTGACAACACACGATTGCTGAGCACAGGGCTCAAAGGCCCAAAACGCGAACAGGCCAGCAACAATCAGCAATATCAAAGTTGTAATGGTTAACACTTTCTTGAAATGAACATAGTTATTACAGAACTTTGGAGGGAAATTCCGAAGTTGACAGTGTGGTGGTTGTGTGGTGCATGTGGTATGAGTGGTGCGTGTAATGTGTGTACCGTGTGGTTGTGTGGTGTGTATGTATATGGACTGTGCATCTGTACTCAGTGGAAATCGGTGTGAACTAACATGAAGAGTTTGGGGTGCGTGGAGTGAACTGGGCGTGTGGGCCGTGTGGTGTGTGGGCCGTGTGGGCCGTGTGGTGTGGGCCGTGTGGTGTGTGGGCCGTGTGGTGTGTGGGCCGTGTGGAGTGTGGGCCGTGTGGTGTGTGGGCCGTGTGGTGTGTGGGCCGTGTGGTGTGTGGGCCGTGTGGCGTGTGGGCCGTGTGGTGTGTGGGCCGTGTGGTGTGTGGGCCGTGTGGTGTGTGGGCCGTGTGGCGTGTGGGCCGTGTAGTGTGTGGGCCGTGTGGTGTGTGGGCCATGTGGTGTGTGGGCCGTGTGGCGTGTGGGCCGTGTGGTGTGTGGGCCGTGTGGTGTGTGGGCCGTGTGGTGTGTGGGCCGTGTGGTGTGTGGGTCGTGTGGTGTGTGGGCCGTGTGGTGTGTGGGCCGTGTGGTGTGTGGGCCGTGTGGCGTGTGGGCCGTGTGGCGTGTGGGCCGTGTGGCGTGTGGGCCGTGTGGCGTGTGGGCCGTGTGGTGTGTGGGCCGTGTGGTGTGCGGCGTGCTGACCTGTGCTCGGCAGCGAGCTCTGTGAAGTGCCGTGAGGTGTTGGGCACGGCGGACAGGAGGTAATCCTGCTGAGCCAAGTTCCCCAGGTTCCTGATCGTCAGAGGCACGCGCGGCTGAGACCTGCGCACACGTGACATAGGGGTTCGCATGGCGGTCGTAATGCTGTGGGGGGTTATGAGAGTGCTGTGGATGACGCGATGGGAGTCATGAGAGCTGTGAGCAATGCTATGGGGGTTATGAGACAGCTGTGGATGATGCTATGGCGGCTATGAGCCGGATGTGGGTGATCCTATGGGGACTGTGAGACAGCTGTGGGTGATACTATGGAGGTCACGGGAGAGCTGTGGGCGATGGTGTGGATCGACCTGCGGCTAGGCTGGAACATGACGTATTCCAGAGCGTGGGTCGAGTGGTTGGCGGTCGACAGGAACCCAAACAACAGGAACACCAGGTCCGGTTTCCCCAAAACCTGGCACAGGTTCCGGTGGACCTGGGTCTCACGGAAGGTCAGCTGCTGTGATGTGTTCCGTCGGAACCGGTACCAGCCGAGGAGAGACTGCGAGACGCACACACAAAGACAGAGATCGCCCGTACACCCTTTAGCAGACTGTTGGGGCAAGTGCTGTTAGCGAGTGCCTATGGAGGCCGGAAGATGTCACGAGAGGGTGGGTGCCCAGCACCACACCTGGCTGCCTTTGCCTCCTAAATTCTGCACCAGGTAATCATTTATGGCTGTTTCGATTTAGGGGAGGTTAAGGACTGGTTTAGATAATCAACACCCATGTGGGCCGTGAGCAGAAATTGAACTTGGGTTGCCAGATTCGTAGCCCATTGTGCCAACCACTACACTGTTACTTCCCACTACTGAGACAAAGACAAAGATCCCCCCTATAGCCTTAACAGACTGTTGGGGCAAGTGCTGTTAGTGAGCACCTATGAAGGCCGGCATGGCACACGAGGCAGTGGGTGGCCAACACCACGCCCGGCCGCCTTTGTATCCCTAGTGGCGATGCTCACACATCGCACCAGGTACTCATTTGCGGCTGAGTCGACCTAGGGGAAGCCCAGGACCGGTTTAGATAATCGTCACTGGTGTTGGCCGTGAACAGGATTCGAACCTGGGTCGCCAGGTTCGTAGCGTAGAGCGCTAACAGCTACATTGCCGCTCCCCACAAACACACACGCGCGTGTGAGCATGCAGCCGGTCAAGTACACACAACCGGTCACACACAGAAACACGCGCACACACGCGCGGCCAGTTGTACCTGCACTCACCCAGCACGGGCGGGCACAGGTACACTTGGCGTGTACACGTGTGCGCATTCAGATACGTGCGTGTACACATGTGCACGTTCAGACACGTTTGTGCAGACATGTGCGCGTTGCACGCGCGTCACCAACCTTGCTGTGCTCTCTCAGGAGGTCCTCCACCGTGGCCTTGTCCACTTTTCCAACGCCGTCGTAAAAACTGCACCGCCCCACGCAGCGCCGTGCCCCGGGACGACACGGGAGATGCCGCATCAGCCGACCAGCAGTGGCGCCACGCTCCCCACACGACACTCGCGACACGCCGCTCGCAAACCCCGTGCAGCACGACGGACACAGACGCTCACAACGCAACAGCCGTGACGCTCGCAAACACGACCCTTGCAACGCAACGCTCCAGGATGCAACGCGGCAACCAGAACAATCCCAACGCAGCGCGGACACCGCCGGCAGACAACGCATGCACCATGAGACACTCGCAACCCGATGACCACAACACGCACGGCAGGCACCGGAATTGTGAGCAGTTAATAAACAACACCGGAGTAGAGGCCTCATGCACGGTTAGGGTTGGGACCAGGATTGGGGCGAGGGTTAAGATCAGTGTTAGGAATCAGGGACTCACCTGGAGGGTCGTAAGCAGGGCAGGTGGCCATGGATCTCTGCAGCACACATGCGCACACGCGCGCACACACACACACATACAGATGCATGCCCGTACGGACGGCCATTCACGCACGTGCGCTCGCACGCAAGGGGAAACTGACACCCACGTATGCACACGCGTGCACACACAAACAGGTACGCACGCTTGCATATATAGACATGGGGAAGCAGGCATACAAGTTCACACGCCCACACACACGGGTACACGCAAACAGACACCCACCCACAATCACGCACACACACATAACCACAGTGCACACAGACGCGTACACACAGACGTGTACACACACACACGGAGTAGTGAGCAGGACGGGACAAAAGGACCCAGGTCACATGCGAGAGTCAGGGGGCCGTAGGGGCGACCGAGCTACTGGGGGGTTGGTTGCACACGGTGCGACGGGAGGGTTTGGGACCCACCGATGTGCGTGTGCTGCTCCGTGTTGTTCAGGTGAGTGTCGCTGATGATCACCACTCGCTCCTCTCGCTCCCCTCCGAGCAGAAAGCCCTCCTACAAAGACAAAGATCCCCGTATAGCCTTTAATATACTGTCGGGGCAAGTGTTGTGAGCACATATGAAGGATGGCACTGGCACACGAGGAAGTGGGTGGCCAACACCACGCCCGGACGTCTTTGTCTCCCCAGTGATGATGTTTACCCAACTGATTAACGGCTGAGTCTACCCAGGACCGGTTGAAATATTCATTGGTTATTGGTTGCTTGGGGGAAATCGAACCGGGGTCGCTGGGTTCTTAGCGCAGTGTGCTAACCACCACACTGCCGTTCCCCTCACCACACACGCAGGGGTGTTCACACAAATGTGTTCACACAAATGTGAACAACCCGGGAAGCAGAAAGATCCCTCAAACTAAAAATAAAACGCACAGCTCTCACAAGTCACACGCACACCTCTGTCGCACGCACCCACGCAAAGTCATACACACGTTTCACGGAAGTGTCAACCCATACGGTCTGCCCGTCTTCTTGTACAGGGAAATTGAGTTTTCAAGTCCAAACGGCATACAGCCGTTTCATAGCGGACTTTGTAGGATGAACGTTTGAGATTTATAAGGGCATGGGGTGACCAATAAGGTCTGAATTGGTCTGTAATACCGCACCAGGTACTCGTTTGAGACTGAGTCGACCTAGGGGAGTCCCCGAACCGGTTCAGATAATAGTCACGGTTGTTGGTGGCCGTGGCCAGGAATCGAACTCGGGTCGCCGGATTATTAGCGCAGCGTTGCAGGCCAACCACAACACGACCGCTCCCCACCACCATCGCTCCCACCACCACCATCGCTCCCCACCACCACCATCGCTCCCCACCACCACCATGGCTCCCCACCATCGCTCCGCAACACCATCGCTCCCCACCACCACCATGGCTCCCCACCATCACCATCACCTGCGACCATCACCATCGCTCCCCACCACCACCATCACCACCACCATCACCACCACCATCACCACCACCACCACCATCACAACCATCATCACCACCACCACCATCACCACCACCATCACCACCACCACCATCACCACCACCACCACCATCACCACCACCACCACCATCACCACCACCATCACCACCATCACCACCATCACCACCACCACCATCACCACCACCATCACCACCATCACCACCACCATCATCACCACCACCATCATCACCACCACCATCACCACCACCATCACTCCCCACCACCACCATCACCATCATCATCACCACCACCATCACCACCACCATCACTATCGCTCCCCACCATCATCACCACCATCACCACCACCACTACCATCATCACCACCACCATCACTATCGCTCCCCACCATCATCACCACCACCATCACTATCGCTCCCCACCATCACCACCACCATCACTATCGCTCACCATCACCATCACCACCACCATCACCACCACCATCACTATCGCTCCCCACCATCACCATCACCACCATCACCACCATCACCATCACCACCATCACTATCGCTCCCCATCACCACCATCACCTGCCACCACCACCATCACCATCGGCGTCTATTTCCGCGTCGTCACACCAGGAACTGGAGCCACCCCCCGGCGCTTCTCCGCTGGGCCGGGACCCCAGAACCCCCAGAACTCCCTCCTCCTCCTCACCCCCTTCTCTCACCGTCACCTGGCCCCCTACTGCCCCCCCTCCACCCCGTATATCTCCTTGACACTCCGAACCAAAATTTCCCCAATACCAATTGACACTCTTCTCCGATCCCCTCGATTCCACTGCTTGGACAATCTCGCGGTTTCGCTATCCCCTACACCTGGTCCCCGATCCCTGTGGCCGCTCCCCCACCCGCCTCACCTGATCCAGGTGTAACGGATCCCCTCGTCCCCGTTATCCCCTCGATCCCCACATCGCTCCCCTGATCCTCTCGAGTCCCGTGTCTGAGCCCCTTCATTCTCCACCCCTGGGTCCCCTGCGGACCCTTTGATTCCTCTCCCTGGTACGTTCCCGATTCTGTGACCCCCGTACAGGGTCTCATCTCCTGCTAGGTCCCTCTGATTCCCGGCGCGCCTGGTCCCCTTGCTCCTCGACACCAAGTCCCCTCGATCCCCTGGTCCCCCTCTGATCCCCGTTCCTGGTCCCCCTCTGGTCCCCGTTCCTGGTCCCCCTCTGATCCCCGTACCTGGTCCCCCTCTGATCCCCGTACAGTGGTCCCCCTCTGATCCCCGTACCTGGCCCCCCTTTGATCCCCCTCTGGTCCCCCTCTGATCCCCGTACCTGGTCCCCCTCTGGTCCCCGTACCTGGTCCCCCTCTGATCCCCGTGCCTGGTCCCCCTCTGGTCCCCCTCTGATCCCCGTACCTGGTCCCCCTCTGATCCCCGTACCTGGTCCCCCTCTGGTCCCCCTCTGATCCCCGTACCTGGTCCCCCTCTGATCCCCGTACCTGGTCCCCCTCTGGTCCCCCTCTGGTCCCCCTCTGATCCCCGTACCTGGTCCCCCGATCCCCCGAGCTGCTCCAGCACCAGGGTCGCGACCGCGGGGCCCGAAGCCCAGGCGGCGGCCATGACGGCGGGCGCAGTGCGCATGCGCGGGACGAGCACTGCGATTCTTGCGTTTCAGAGACTCATAGAGACACACAGTGTCATAGAGACACACACAGAGACACAGAGTGTCATAGAGACACACACAGAGACACACAGAGTGTCATAGAGACACACACAGACAGAGTGTCATAGAGACACACACAGAGACACACAGAGTGTCATAGAGACACACACAGAGACACACAGAGTGTCATAGAGACACACACAGAGACACACAGAGTGTCATAGAGACACACACAGAGACACACAGAGTGTCATAGAGACACACACAGAGACACACAGAGTGTCATAGAGACACACACAGACACACAGAGACACACAGAGACACACACAGAGTGTCATTGAGACACACAGAGACACACAGAGTGTCATAGAGACACACACACAGACACACAGAGACACATAGAGTGTCATAGAGACACACAGAGACACAGAGTGTCATAGAGACACACACAGAGACACACAGAGTGTCATAGAGACACACACAGAGACACAGAGTGTCATAGAGACACACACAGAGACACACTAGAGTGTCATCGAGACACACACACAGACACACACAGAGTGTCATAGAGACACACACACAGACACAGAGACACACAGAGTATCATAGAGACACACACAGAGACACACAGAGACACACAGTGTCATAGAGACACACACACAGACACACACAGAGTGTCATAGAGACACACACACAGACACAGAGACACACAGAGTATCATAGAGACACGCACAGAGACACACAGAGACACAGAGTGTCATAGAGACACACACACAGACACAGAGACACACAGAGTGTCATAGAGACACACAGACACAGAGACACAGAGTGCCATAGAGACACACACAGAGACACACAGAGACACACAGAGACACAGAGTGTCATAGAGACACACACAGAGACACACACAGAGTGTCATAGAGACACACACAGAGACACACAGAGTGTCATAGAGACACACACAGAGACACACAGAGTGTCATAGAGACACACACACAGACACACAGAGACACAGAGTGTCATAGAGACACACACAGAGTGTCATAGAGACACACACAAAGACACAGAGTGTCATAGAGACACACACAGAGACACACAGAGACACACAGAGTGTCATAGAGACACACAGACACAGAGACACAGAGTGCCATAGAGACACACACAGAGACACACAGAGACACACAGAGTGTCATAGAGACACACACAAAGACACAGAGTGTCATAGAGACACACACAGAGACACACAGAGTGTCCTAGAGACACACACAGAGACACACAGTGTCATAGAGACACACACAGAGACACACAGAGACACACAGAGTGTCATAGAGACACACAGAGAGACACGCAGAGTGTCATAGAGACACACACAGAGACACACAGAGTGTCATAGAGACACACACAGAGACACACAGAGTGTCATAGAGACACACACAAAGACACACAGAGACACACACACAGAGACACACAGAGTGTCATAGAGACACACACACAGACACACAGAGACACACACACAGACACAAAGAGTGTCATAGAGACACACACATAGAGACACACAGAGACACAGAGTGTCATAGAGACACACACAGAGACACACAGAGTGTCATAGAGACACACACACAGACACACAGAGACACACACACAGAGACACACAGAATGTCATAGAGACACATAGAGACACACACAGAGTGTCATAAAGGCAGTGAGGGTTCATAAAGATTCACAGAGCCAGACAAAGACATGTATCCTGTAATAGAGTCCCAGGTCACGTTTCAGAGATCCAGACACCGAGAATCTCACAGAGCTAGGCCGAGCCTCGCGCTCCCGCCGGGGCCCAGGAGAGGGCGCTCGCTGGCCTCTGGGTCCGGCCGCAGTGCGGCCAGCAGGGGGCGCTCGTGCAGAGGGGCAGTGCCACTCACAACACAAACACAACACTGTTCCTAACGCTGCCTGAACTCTAACACCGCCCTAACCCAGCCCTATTCCTAACCCTGCCTGAACTCTAACTCAGCCCTAACCCAGCGCTATTCCTAACCCTGCCTGAACTCTAACTCAGCCCTAACCCAGTCCTATTCCTAACCCTGCCTGAACTCTAACTCAGCCCTAACCCAGTCCTATTCCTAACCCTGCCTGAACTCTAACTCAGCCCTAACCCAGTCCTATTCCTAACCCTGCCTGAACTCTAACTCAGCCCTAACCCAGTCCTATTCCTAACCCTGCCTGAACTCTAACTCAGCCCTAACCCAGTCCTATTCCTAACACTGCCTGAACTCTAACTCAGCCCTAACCCAGCCCTATTCCTAACCCTGCCTGAACTCTAACTCAGCCCTAACCCAGTCCTATTCCTAACCCTGCCTGAACTCTAACTCAGCCCTAACCCAGTCCTATTCCTAACCCTGCCTGAACTCTAACTCAGCCCTAACCCAGCCCTATTCCTAACTCTGCCTTTACTCTAACTCAGCCCTAACCCAGTCCTACTCCTAACCCTGCCCTTAATCTAACTCAGCCCTAACTCAGCCTTATTCCTAACTCTCCCTTTATTCTAACCAGCCCTATCCCCTAACTCAACCCCAACTCTAACCTAGCACTAACCCCTACCCAACCATAAACCAACCCTAACTCTAACCCTTAACCCATCCCTAATTCTAGCCAAGATCGGGGTTGACTAAACCCATCATTCAGACGGGGTCGATTAAATTAGTACCAATTCACGAGGAAGTGAACAGCATTTTTTCTTACAGACAAACGCGACCCCACCATAGGAATGTGGAATTTACACCTCTGGCTCCTCGGTAGGGCTGTAAACAAGAGATGAGCACCAATACCTCAATGGTCGAGCAGCAGAAACCCACTGACTGGTTTTAGTGGTGGCTGCAGTGGTGACACTCACTCTACAACCTCGTCGCCAGAGCCTCCTTCCTTCTGCCAGATGTCACCACATCTGTTGCCAAGTCGTCACCTGCACCTTCAACGTGCTGTTCTGAGTTCGTCACCAACTCTCACCTCCACCTGGCCTCAGGCCTTCACCCCCATAGACGCACAGCCGACACGTCCTTCAGCCCACAGTTTGGCTCCATGCGTGCCTTGCACCTGCGTCCGTTTCTCAGCCCGCTACTTTGCACTACTATACACTATACACTACTATACACTACACTACTATACACTATACACTACTATACACTACTAGACCCTGTACACTACTATACACTATACACTACTATACACTATACACTACTATACACTACTATACACTATACACTCCTATACACTATACACTACTATACACTACTATACACTACTATACACTACACTACTATACACTATACACTACTATACACTATACACTACTATACACTATACACTATTATACACTATACACTACCATACACTACTATACACTATACACTACTATACACTATACACTACTATACACTATACACTACTATACACTACACTACTATACACTACACTACTATACACTATACACTACTATACACTATACACTACTATACACTATACACTCCTATACACTATACACTACTATACACTACTATACACTACTATACACTACACTACTATACACTATACACTACTATACACTATACACTACTATACACTATACACTACTATACACTATACACTACTATACACTACTATACACTATACACTACTATACACTACTATACACTATACACTACTATACACTACTATACACTATACACTACTATACACTACACTACTATACACTACTATACACTACTATACACTACACTACTATACACTCTACACTACTATACACTATACACTACTAGACCCTATACACTACTATACACTATACACTACTTTACACTATACACTAGTATACACTATACACTACACACTACTATACACTACTATACACTACTATACACTATACACTACTATACACTCCTATACACTACTATACACTACACTACTATACACTATACACTACTATACACTATACACTACTATAAAATATACACTACTATACACTATTAGACCCTATACACTACTATACACTACACTACTATACACTACTATACACTACTAGACCCTATACACTACTATACACTACTATACACTACTTTACACTACTATACACTACACTACTTTACACTACTATACACTACACTACTATACAATATACACTACTATACACTATACACTACTATACACTACTATACACTGCTATACACTACACTACTATACACTATACACTACGAGACCCTATACACTACTATACACTATACACTACTATACACTACTATACACTACTATACACTACACTACTGTACAATATACACTACTATACACTACTAGACCCTAAACACTACTATACACTACTATACACGATACACTACTATACACTACTATACACTACTATACACTACACTACTATACACTATACACTATGAGACCCTATACACTACTATACACTATACACTACTATACACTACTCTACATAACACTACTATACACTACTATACACTATACACTACTATACACTACTATACACTGCACTACTATACACTACTATACACTACTATACACTATACACTACTATACACTACTCTACACTACACTACTATACACTATACACTACTATACACTACACTACTATACACTGCTATACACTATACACTACTATACACTACACTAATATACACCATACACTACTATACACTACTAGACCCTATACACTACTATACACTATACACTACTATACACTACTATACACTACACTACTATACACTACTAGACACTATACACTACTAGACCCTATACACTACTATACACTATACACTACTATACACTACTATATACTACACTGCTATACACTACACTACTAGACACTATACACTCCTATACACTACTATACACTACTATACACTATGATATACTACTATACACTACACTATTATACACTACACTACTA